GCACCCTCGCCGACCAACGATTCTGGCACCTCGATGGGCGGGGTAGGGGTCAGGGGCGGGGTTCGGGATCCGCCGAACACGTCTGTCGAAATCCGAGTATTGACCCCGCCTCCCATCGATTCAGGGGGGTCGATGGCTGGTGGGGGGAAAGTTCGGATGTCACCACCAATCGGAGGAGGAAGAGCTACCGATACCGCTGCGCCAGCTCCGTTTTCGTTGTCTTTTGGCCTACTGGGAGGTCCTCGTCGCCACGGCTGGAATCGCCTCGAAGTTCTGGTCAGAACGCACCCCGGCAGAGGTCCGGGAAGTAGCGGTAACGATATCTGTTGTTTTCCCCATTGCCGTAGCCCGCAGCGGCGCGCGTGGTGTGCCGCGGCGGAGGTTGGCTCGGATCGCGCGGTCCCAAATATCTGTGATGATCGGCTGGCCGGGGCACGTCTGGTCAGTTCTGCGCAGAAGTACGCAGTGGTCGGAGTTGCTCATGAGGCAGGGGAGTCCTATCGCCCGCGCAGCGTCAACCCGCTGTCAATGTCGTCGCGGAATTTGCACATTTCGAGCACACGTCACCTGCCCAACAGCAGCCGCTGTCGCTTTTGGGCGACGTCTGTTGTTGGGGCTCGCCCTCATCGATTCTGTCCCCAGCCCGGGCGTGCCAACAGGAGAGACGTGCGCGCTGTGCCAGGGTATGCCCGGGGCCAGGCGGAGAATGGCTCCATGGCGGGCGCATCCTGGGGGTATGTTTTTGCCGCCAGGCGATATTTGGGGCCGCGAGGGGGAGGCCAGGGAGGGGAACGAGCGGAACCCGCCTGCCCCGAATCTCCGGAGGTGTCCCCGAAAGCCTCGCAGAGCCCCCCGTTCGAAATAGGGCCCCGGGCGTCAGGCACCAGGAAGGCCCCAGGCATCCGACGAGATGGTCAGGGAGGGGCACGTCAAAGATGGCCCCGGGCCTCAGGAATAGGGGCACGTCAAGAATGGTCCATGGCATCCGACGAGATGGTTTTGTGAGTCGGAGGCAAGCAGGAGGAGGAGGAGGAGGAGGAGGAGGAGGAGGAGGAGGAGGAGGAGGAGGACAAGGAGGAGGATCAGGAGGAGGACAAGGAGGAGGATCAGGAGGCAAGGCCAGGAGGAGGCAAGGAGGAGGAGGCAAAAAGGAGGAGGAGGCAAGAAGGCAAGGAGGACGAGGAGGAGGATGTCCCTGGGGGGAAGTTTTGAGCCTTGATCCATTATATCATTGATGCCCACGGACCCCCGAGGCCGAAACGGAAAGGACAATCGCCAGATTTGTGCGTTGGAGGCCTGGGCCTGCTCTTGAGTCGGGCGTGTCCCTCCACAGGAGGAATGTTCAAAAATGGTCAAAACATAGTCTGGGGACGATTTGTTGATTCTTTCATACTTGTCGACCATGTTTTGACTATTCTTCATTGTTAGTCCAAAATCAGCCTGCAGGGGGACATGGTCGATCTAAGCCTACTCCGCATCCCTCGTTTCCCAGCCTGGGGCCTGGCCCAGACATGGATGTTCTTGGTGTTCATTTTGCGTGAGCCCCAGACCCCTGGATCCCATCCCAGGGATGTTGGCGTCGCGTTGTAGGGGGGGGGGGGCTCTACATGGGGGGGGGGGGGGGCAGCGAGGGCTCCCGAAACGAGGCCCTTGAGGGCCCCTGAAGGGGCCCTCTCGGGCCCGAACAGGCCACCTCATTTCCTCCCCATTAAGCGTTAAGTCGGGCCTGTCCCTCTACTGGGGGAATATAAAAAAAATAGTAATAAAAACAAACAGTCTGGGGAATTTTTGTTTTAACATGTTTGCCTATTAGGGGTGTATTGTTTGAGGAGTTTTCATTTTTTCGCTCAAAATCCCCCTGTGGGGGGACACGCCCGACTTAAATGTAGCGCTCCCCCATTGACTCGCGCCCAAGGATTTGCCCCGCCCGACAAGTTGGGGACGTCCTAGTCTAGCATTAGAAAACTATTACCGCCTCACCTCACCCGACATGCAGAGCGCGGCCGCCGGACTCCTAGAATCCAGGTGATCCCTGAGTGTCCAACCTAGCCCGCCTTGCATACACATTGCTCATTTCTGAGTATCCGAAAGTTCTTCTATTTTTTGGGGGGGCCAGGAGCCTTTCATTTCTAAGTGTTCTGTTCTGGGCCTCGTCCTGGCCGCTAGGGGGCCTGGAACAATTAGAAACGAGCACATTTAGAAATGAGCACGATTAGACATGAACGACGTGTAGTTATCGCGGCCACTTGGCTCCAGAGATCCCCGAGAGGCCAGTGGCGACATAACGCACACGCATATAGAACAGGCACAACTAGCATTAAGTCGGGGCTGTCCCTCTACAGGAGGAATATTCAAAAATAGTCAAACATTAGTGGGGGGGACTATGTTTTAGTATGTTTGGATCCTTGTTTGAGTATGGTTTGGCTTTTTTAAGCTGTCCTCGGAAATCGGCCTGTAGGGGACAGGCCCGAATTAAAACTAGCAGACTATCCTTCCAGGGTGGCGCCACGCCGCCCGCATACGTCCAGAGCAGGCATGGACGACCATACGATATGAACGTGCATCGATACCACAGGCCTAGACCATACAGCAAGAACATACCAAATTATACACAGCAAGCGCATAAGCAGCTACTTGGCAAGTAATATACCGCTAACAACAGGCAAGAAGACCGAACACCATGAACATACACCAAGGGCGTAGATCACTTTTAGACACCGAGAAGGCACGACTGACATACACCCGCAACCTATGCCAGCCATACAATATACATCACGCATCGCACCACAAATGCACGCCAAGACCAGAGACCAGCAGTGCAATCTAGCGTGAAGACATTACGGATTCAATAAAGCATGTGCTTAACAACCATGCATCATATTCAGCAATATTGTCACCAACAACAACAACACAATTTGCATCCACCAGCAACGAGGAGCACACATCAAAAACATGCCCTCCGAATAACAGACACAACATACCAAACCCACACACAAACATTATGCATCAATAGCTGGCATCAGTCAACATCAACTACCTACACTAGAAACTCAGCTGTTGATTCGTTTAAACTCGTTGCTGGGGACAACTCGAGGCAACACATCTCTTTCACCCGAGTCGGTGTTCAATGCCACGGAGCCCTGAAACACATCGGCCTCGACTTCTCCAGATGCTGGAGGTCTGGCGACGACGACGTCGCCCTCGGCAGAAATCTTTGACTTCGGTCTAATGGCGTGAGTTGGTTTCCAGCTGGTCCCTGGCATGAGCCACAGTAGCATCGATGGACCTGCGCTGTCGCCCGTCAGCGATCGCGCAGGATTGAGGGAGCTGCGCAGTGTCAGAAAGCGATGCCATCGCGACGGGAACCCGCCCCAGTGTCCCACGAAACTGCACCTGCTCACCAGAGGCCCTACCTCTTGTCCGCACATCAGTCGCACTGGGACTTGAGCTGACCACTCCTCGCCCGGCTGCGCAGGTGGAGCTCACACCGGCCGCACTTCCAGCACGCGGCACGGCCCGCGCCCGCGCTCTTGGGGAGGCCGCCGAAGCCTTGAGAGGCGCACCTCCGCCGTCTCATGGCACGAGTGCGCGTCTGCGTGCGCCGCGCACTGGCGCGTCCGATGGGCATTCCGTGCCCGTCGGAGTGCCATGGCGTCCTCTTTCCGAGAGGTCGGGCCAGGCCATCTCGTGGATCTCCCCGCGCTGGTGGATGTCCACGTCGTGGTTGCCGGAGCGCGAGGTCAGCCGCCACCACGCTATGACCCCTCGTCCAGGTTGGTTCTCGTCACGGTCAGCCCCAAGATCTGCTCGGCGTCGAGCGCTCTGGTCTGGGGGGGAGGGCACCGTCTCGATGTTCATTCTGGCTCAAGCCACCCGAAAGTCATTGACAGGTTGGCACCCGCTGAGAAGCGACGCAGACGATCTGACCACTGCCAGAAGGGCTGCGCGACTCCACAGCGATGTCACTCCCCGTGGTGTGCGCTGTCGCCTTCTCAGTCATGTATTCTGGTTTTCTTTTTATCTGGACGGTAGTGCACGGCATCGTGGAGCACCGACCCTATCCAGAGACAACGAGGCTCGCATTCTTCCTCATTGTTGTGACGCTCACCACAGTGGAACTACACCATGTCTGGATCGGGCGCATGTGCGGTTGGATGGCCTGGGTCATCCTTGTCGGCAACATCTGGGGGTTACTAGACGCCGTGCTGCGGTTCCCCGTAGTCCCCAACTTGAGGTCGTTCTTCACCCTGAAGCAGTGCCTCATCGCGACCTTCAAGGTCGTCTGTTTTCGATACAGCTTCGAGCCCCTTATCGTCGAGAATATGATGTGGCTTCTTGCCCTTCTCATCGTCAACGCCTGGCTTCCGATTATGTACGTGGCGGCGTTGCCCTTCGGCGACGCGGTGGAGCAGCGGCTGGCGGCCCACGACGTCGTCAACGTCGACTTGGCTCTACGCATCATCGGGCCTGCCACGAGTCAGCAACGGAGGCTCGATAGCTACAGAACCCTGAAGAGAGGGGCTCGCAGGGCGGCTGCGGATGTCGCATGGATATCAGAGAAGCTCGTCAGCCTCAGCTTCCAGACCCAGCGGAGCCCGCTCTTGAAGAGCACCCGCATCTTAAGGTGCGTGTAGAAGCACGAAGACTGGTGCTACCGACATGGGTATGGAACATGGGTACGTAGCACCCCGCAGGTGCGGATAAGAGTGAGGGGGCGGTGGGGACATCGGCAGTTTGCGAGTCTCTGGAGAAGCCCGCCGCAGGAGCCACAGTTTCACAACTCATACAACGAGCCCGCCGCAGGCGCCGATTTTTGTTAAACCAATGTGGGTAGGTCGCGGGTGGGTCGCTGGTGGGTCGCAAATGGGTCGCGGGTGGGTCGCGCGTGGGTCGCGGGTGGGTCGCGGGGTGGGTCGCGCGTGGGTCGCGCGTGGGTTGCGGGTGGGTCGCGGGGTGGGTCGCGGGGTGGGTCGCGGGTGGGCCGCGGGGTGGGTCGCGGGGTGGGTCGCGGGTGGGTCGCGGGTTGGGTCGCAGGTGGGTCGTGGGGTGGGTCGCGGGGTGGGTCGCGGGTGGGCCGCGGGGTGGGTCGCGGGGTGGGTCGCGGGTGAGTCGCGGGTGGGACAACGACAAACAAACAACAAACAACAACAATGACAACAACAACGCAAACAGAGTCCTCACCACGGATCCTCACTTCAGCCACGCACCCAGGGACAATGAATGACCGTTCGGGCGCCGACCTTGGTCATGGTTCATGCCAGCCGTCGCCGATTCGCGAGGATGATCCTCGAATCGACGCTGACCCAGACGGAGGGTAGCCAGCATCGGCACAACGTTTGCGCTGTCAGTCCTGATCATGGTCCCCGTTTTCTTCTTCTCTATCGGGGCACGGATGCTGTTGCAATCGCAACTTTTTTCCAGGGGGGCTGGAGAGATCAAGTTCAGAAGCAAGATTACAAGAGATGGATAGTTTAGAAGAACGGGGAGGAGGAGGGTGAAGGTGGGGGAGAACAGGACTAAGCATTGCTGCTTGGACGGTCTCACTTGCTCAGCGCACGGATCACGGATCCTGTCGCAAGATTGGGGTCCAGGTCTCTGCATCAAGAGGAGAGAGCGCCGTGAAATTGGTACCCAATGTTTTGTCTGATTCGGTCCCAGACGGCCTTGCTTTGCTTCCGTGGCCAGTGGGTCATCAAAGGCTCCTTCCTTTGGGGCTGCCAGAATCTGCACGTTTGTGTACAGTCAGGCGTGGGATTGTTCGGCTTGCCCTGTTCAGGAGAGCCGCTTTGAATTTTCAGGCGCAGGCGCTGGATTGATTCCGTGGCCAGTGTGTGTCAGACGTGTTCCCTTGGGGCAGCCAGAAGCTGCGCGTAGATAGGGTTTTTGGCCTCATGCCAGCAGTGTCCAGGGCGCTGCCGTTGCCGCACTCTCGTGGAGGGGGCGGCGGGAGCAAGTTTGGAAGCAAGATTGCATGAACCTGGCGCGACCGCAATTGACATTTCCGCTTCCTCAAGCAGTTCAAAGCATCTCGATCAATACATATTGATGTACGGCATTTCTTGGCACTGCTTTGTATTGCTTGGTATTACCAGGCATTGCTTGGCGTTGCATGGCATTGCGTAGCAATCCTGAGCGAGGACCCCCGAGGAATCCACGCGAGGAACACGAGGAACGCGCAGAGGAGCCTACGACCAATGGATTTAGCCAGGAAGAGCGATGCCTCTGACAACCGCCACCGCACCCACCGGTTCTTTCCACAAAACAAGTATTAGGAACCCTTTGGGCCGAGCTATGGTGGGGGGAGGTACATGGGTTTTCTGGGAAAGAGGTGAGAAGGAGGAGGAGGGGGAGGGAGAGAGCAACATCGTAACCACTGCAGCGTGGGACGTCTATCACTCTTCTTGAATGAATATTGTGGCAAGCTCTCGGTCCAGGACATTGCATCACAAGGAGTCCACTGAGGTTCTTTGCTGTTAAGTTGTTGCTTGCTTGTAAGTCTGACTCGGACCCAGCAGGCACCGAGATTTGACACCTCAGATAGTCAAGCGTGACCATGGCTTCTTCACAACTGACGTGCTTTGCCTCCGTTGCCAGTGTGTCACTCACGGCTCCTTTCCCTGGGACAGCCAGAACGTGCACGTTGTTCTACAGCCATGAGTGGGGTTGTTCGGCACGCCCTGTCGGGGAGAGCCACCTTTCGATGTTCGAGCGCAAGTAGTGTCTAGGGAGCAGGCGACCGGCACGAAGATGCAGCCCAGCGCCACAGTCGTGGTTGCGCGGGATGCTTACGTTGCCTTTGTCGCCTGTGGCAATCGAATCCTGGGGCATTTCAACATCCCAAAGGTTGGCTACACAGCCATGCGTGAGATTCTCGAGCAAGCTATGTAGGACTAGTTCCTTGAACCTGAGAAGCTCACCGCCTGGCAGCCGAGGTGGAAGCCGGTGGCAGCAAGACGAGGCCGCAGATTTTGCCAGCGCAGGCCAGACGGAAGCATTCAGAAGCTGAGAGGTAACCCTCAAGGAGAGATAACGGCGGTCGCCAGGACATGCGCGATGCCCACCCCCCTGCAAAAGAGGTGCCCCTCCTCCTGCCCTCAGAGACCCCCCCCGAGCCCAATGGAGTGCCCAAGAACGTCGGAACATCGTCATGTTCTTTACACCGACCTCCCAGAGAGCGGATGGCTCCTTCTCTGCCGTGTCGGCACGGCGAGGAGTCCATGGGAGCGTCGCAGCGTCGTTCGAGGATGCGTAGCCCAGAGAGCGGATGGCTCCTTCTCTGCCGTGTCGGCACGGCGAGGAGTCCATGGGAGCGTCGCAGCGTCGTTCGAGGATGCGTAGACGCGAGACTACCTCATCCTCTGCCAGCCGACGATGGTGCATTTTCGATCTGCTCGCGACAGTGTTGTTTTTGCTTTCCGCGCTCGTGGGCGCCAGTCAAGTTCACTGAGCCTCGGGGCTATTCCCCCCTCCTTCCTGTGCCCCTCTCCTTCCCTTCCCCATGGTCAGGGGCTGCGGTGCCTGATCCGGGGTGTGCTCGCGTTGTTGGGTGTGTAGCTCGGCCCCTCGGGCATAGCCAGAACGTGCCTTCTCTTCCCCATCCTGACGCCTGCGGCGGGTTTGATTCAGAAGATGGGAGAGGAGATGCCCTAGACCACCTCCGCCCAGAGGGCTGGTGGGGTTATCTGCTGCCCATCACTTGCACGCGAAGATTACACCACAGAGACTGCACGACATAATTCGAGCCACATATATTCTGCCACAAGTACTGCAGAGGCCAGCCTACAGTATGTAGCTGGCACTACATAGTTTGCAGATTGCGCCACCTAAAACGAATAATTCACCACGCAAATATGATACACCACGCTGGATCACGCTGTTTACCTTCTCTCCTGCGAGGAGTCGGATCTATCCCCTGTCTGGAGGCCGCGGCTAGCGCCCCCCTCCGCATATAATGTGTCCGTGTTGTTCGTGCCGGTGTCAATCTTGCAGAGTAGTTCACGCCAGTCAGCTCGCGGACACCTCCCTCCTCCCGGTAAAAAAAAGAACGTCGGAACGTCGAATTTTCATTTTGCTTCAGATCTGCCACCCAGGACCTGGTGTTGACGGCACAACTCCACGATCGTAGATTAATCTCAACAATGCTTCATTGGCATTTCGTGCGCAGTTTTTATTGCTCTGTCTTTGCCGCCAATATGTAGCCGTTGGTATGTGGCTGTGGTATGTGTGCCAGCTCGACGAATGGGCTCTTCTGCACAGTCTCGGTCGAATCCGTATCGGGCCCACGTGGGAATGCAGTGTTAAGAAAAAAATGTCGAATAAGCGCTCGAATGCCTCAACGCTCTGTCGACGATGGCGGCAAAAGTGCCGTCACGAGCGCCTTGCTTGGCTTCAGAGACTTGTACTTACTTGGCTCCCACGTCTGCTGCAATCGCTATGCTATTTATTGTTGAGTCGGGCCTGTCCCTCTACAGGCAGGGACGATTGTTTGACTATTGTTGCCCATTTGGGGGGCATTTGTTGAGTCTTTTGTGCATTTTTCGCTCGAAATCCCCCTGTATGGGGGACAGGCCCGACCTAATGCTGTGGTCGCCTCGCTGTCGATGCTGACCGCTTCTCGCGCCTGGCAGCCCGTGGCCCCAGAGCTGCTCGCCTGCAGCGGGGCGGCGGGGCAGCGCGAGGATGACCCTCGCCCAGGGCGGCGCGCGCGAGGCGCCCAGCACGGCGACCCAGAAGCATTCCGGGAGGGGGGAGCCACCCCGACCCCGAGGACGAGCGTGTGCTAAACCCGGACGTTGATGGACCTCCTACCCCGAAGACCGCTCGGTCCCAGGAAAACTCAGAAGCAACGCCCGGGGGGGGGTAGGCTCAGGTTCCAGGTTCGAGGTTTTCGGGCCTTTTCGTCTGACCTCGGCGGTTTCCCTCACAGCCTCAGCATGCTCTGCAGCGGCTGCGCCTCGCCGAGGGTGCTCTGGGGGTGCCCGGATCGCCCCTGACGGCCGCCAGAGAGCCGGCTTCTGGCCCGAAGACCTCAGAGGCAACATTGGGGGCGGGTGTGGCTCGGGAGGGAACGCACCGACCCCCATAGGGGCCCGGTGGCCACCCCGCCCAGGAGCGTGCGCATTTGCCATCGGGGGCCTATCGCCCATCTTTCGGCGATGCATCGCCGATTCCAGTACGATGCTTCCACCTGGAGGCAGTCCCCTGTTCTCTCTACGTGAGGTTCTCCCTCAGCGGTGCTCGCGACCAGCTGGAGATTGTGCACTCCTGTGAGGAAATCCCTAGAGGCCTCGGACGGCGCGCAGCAGTCGTATCATCTACCCCGCACGTCCTCCCCGTCAGATGTGGGGCGACGTTAGCGAGGCGATGTTCCGACGCAAGTCCGACGCAACGCCAACGTGAATCCGACACAGTCGACGCAAGCCGACGTGCATCCGACGCGGATTCGACGCGAGTCTTGGCATCGTTCGGACGTGTGCACCTGTTCTCTGCAAGGACCATCGAGAACAAAGTTTACTCACCCTGCGAAACAAAGCACGCATGAAACCGAAACATGCACAGCGCATGGACGTCCGAGCGATGGCGAGGTGTTTCATCTCAAGTTTCCGCGTGAGGCCTCTAGGGATTGTCTCGATTGCGGGCAGGACTCGTGCCTATATCCACTGCAGCTTGGAGCTTCGGGCTCCCCTTCCCAGAAACCCGATGCGCACTGGATCTGAATCATACATCTGGCCCCGCAGAGGGTCGAATTTGATCTATACCCAGTACGCCTCGGCCTTGCGGCGCCCCTTCCTGGCTCTGGTCATTTCCCCGTCCCGCAGACAATGCCCGCACCCTCTAAGGAGCAGGGGTGTTTCTAAGATGGACGAGCGCGTTCCACTACTCGCAAAGTCACTACTCGCAAATGGCCTGGATCCGCCGCGGGGGATCTAGGATACATCACATCGAAGCAGGCATGTGTTTTTGTTCGGAGAAAGTCCAAGACGCACGGGGATGTGGATAGAAACCTTGCGACCCCTGCGCGGCGCGCGCCGACGGGGCGAGGTGGGCCCCCGTTTGGGACGGGGGGATTGGTGCGATCGAGATAGGAGGTTCACCAGAGAAGAGTCCTCCCCCTCCCCCTCCTCCTCCCCCCTCTCCTCCATCTCCACCTCGCCACCTCCTCCTCGTCGTCGTCCTCCTCCTCCTCCTCCTCCTCCTCCTCCTCCTCCTCCCCTTCCTCCTCCTCCTCCTTCTCTACGCTGCCAGAAGGGGCAGCAGCAGCGGCGGCGGCCAGCGGCGAGGAGTGGAAGCCCAAGGCTCCCAGTTGGGGGCTTCCGGCAGTCAGCAAACCCAAAGCACGACCAGCAGAAGGGGAAGCAGCTGGAGAGCGAGGACCCAAGAGCCCTCGACGCCTCAAGCAGCTCAAGCAAGCCACGGAAGACACGATGCAGCGCCATTCCTTCGGACCACTCAAAGCACTGGTAAAAGTTCTCACCAAGTTGTGTCTCAACAACAGCAGGGACATGGCCGACCTCATTGGCGCTTGCTACAGCTGTTTCATCCTCACCGCTGCTCATCCACTGGTAGTGGCAGTCCTCGCAGCAGGGAAGCAGTACTACGAGAGCTGCAAGGAGGCTGGACGCAACCACTCATACGGCCCACCATGGACGCACATGTGGCTGGCGCTGTTGACGGCGCTGCTCGAGCATCCAGAGACCCCCGAGACGTCCAAGAAGGCCTTGAAGGTGTACTGGGATGCCAACATCGCAGGAGACAGGAGCTCGCTTCACCAGCTGCAGGACCAGATACGATATTGCAGAATGCGGCCCACATACTACAACAAGCGCAAGCAGGAGAAGCCGACACACTACAAGCTCCAGTTCATGCTGAGTGCGCAGCTGCAGAGCAGCCAGATTTACTTCGACACGACGCCCGTGGGCACGGTGCACCAGGCGGTGTGCGAGGCTCTCTTCAAGATCGGCGGCAAGTACAAACCAGGGGGTCCTCCCAAGGGCGGCCTCGAGAGGGAGGCACTCAAGCTTCTCGGCAGGATGGGCATGAACAAAGCGGACGACGAGGACATGAGCGACGACGACGAGCTGGCGGGCTAGATGCCAGGCTCACGCACATCGCGGGATCAGAGCGCATGCTCAGCATGGCACAGCACGGGCAGCTTCAGGATGCAGGACTGAGGGCACTGCAGGCTCGTTCGAGCCACCCCATCCTTCAGTATACCTCTCCCTCTGGCAGCATCTTCATGGCCTTTTTATGCCCCTCCTCTCCAATTCCAGATTTCTTTAGAAGATATCACGACTCGTGCTGCCAGTCTTCGAGCCATGCCTCTACGCGGCTCGACGGCTACTGTTGTTTCTGCAGGTGATCGTGCCCAGGATAGACTCATCAGTACAGCGTTGCAGCATGGTGGCGATGATGATAGGATCTCCAACTCCCAGTCATGAGGTGGACTGTGGGGGACTTTCGGGTGTGGAGTTCATTTTCCTATCTGAGCCCCTCGGTGCCGTCTCATTTCATATACATACATGTTGATTGCGTTGCTTCACTTACTCTTTGAGGGGTTTACTCGTCGCCTCTCAGTGCTTTGCAGGACAGATGGTGCCTCGGCGGGGCCCCAAGGTTCTCCCATCAGGGGTCCCCGCATGTGGCCAGTGGAATCCCCCTGCAGAGCGACGGACTACCGATGTCGACAGACAGCGGACGCAGATCCTCTTGCAGTGCAAGGCCGCTCTTCTTTTTTGCACTGTGTAGAGAGGTCACAAGCACATGGGTCGCAAGCGTGTCTTATCTTATCTTATCCTTCTCTACGCTGGGCTCCTCCTCCTCCTCCTCCTCCTCCGCCCCCTCCTCCTCCTCCTCTTCGTCATCCTCCTCTTCCTCCTTCTTCTCTTCCTCGTTCCTCTCCTCTTCTTCCTCCTCCTGAACAACCAGCGCCACCAGGTAGCGGGGCTGGCCACTCCCCCCCGAGCAACGGAGTGCCACCAGCAGCTCGGCGGGGGTGGTGCCCGGGAGCGGAACTCCATGGAGTTCTAGTGGTGGTCCTGGGAGATGGGGACGGAACGAATGGAGACGACGACCAACAGCATGGCACGGCATGGTTGAGCCAAGCATACGGAAGGATGCGACGGCATAATATTGCACGATTGGAAGCTCTATCGTGGCAGCGCAAGGAGCACCTTGCTAAGTGATTCCGTGCACAGAGGGGCTCGACGGTGCAGCAGAACATCGGAGCCCAGCACGGTTGCGAAGCGTGAAGCAAACAAGAGATGAGCGGGAAGACCAATTCCTCTTCCGCCTTTGGAGCGTTTCCTCCAGGCCGCCAGGACTTCCTGGCCATGCCTTGTTGAGGAGCTTATGCACGCGCGCATCGGCGAGGGCGATCAGCTGATGACGCTAGTACCGCTTTGACCCCGTCTCGCACTTAGAGACGCTGTCGCTAAGACTTTGGTACCCGTTTAAAGTTCGCCCTCTTTTCCTTGAATATGACGCCACGGCAGGCGCCAGGC